AATTTCTGTTTGTGTTGTCTGTTCTTGTTTAACTTCTATATAACTTATTTATAAATGATTGTGGACAAATTCATAATAATGAATATTTATCTTTTTAAATATCTTTTCACTGAATTACACTTGTTTGTTGGTTTTCAGGTTTTGATTTCAAGACATGCAATGTATTAGTTGCCCTTGAACAGCAAAGCCCTGACATTGCCATGGGTGTCCACACGGGAAGAAAGGAGGAAGATATAGGTGCTGGTGACCAAGGTCTCATGTTTGGCTATGCCACTGATGAGACAGAGGAACTTATGCCTCTGACAGTGGTCTTAGCGCACAACCTTAACCGAAAGCTTGCAGAGAAGAGGCGTGATGGATCTATGTCCTGGCTACGACCCGACTCAAAGACTCAAGTCACTGTAGAGTATAAATTTGAAGGAGGTGCAGCTATTCCTCTCAGGGTTCATACCATCGTTATTTCCACTCAGCACGAACCAGATATCACATTGGAAGAACAGAGGAAGCAGCTTAGGGAAAAAATCATCAATGTATGTTGGTGAAAAAATTCTTACATAGATAATTTACAAGGAGCTCCTTGCATTTTATTGAGAATCCCTGGTCAAGTACCCATGTTCGTCAGTGTGGCTCAGTTTACTTAAAATTGCCTTTTTTTAAAGTGGCTATTATAATACAGGTTATAATTGAAGGGTTAAAATTCATTGATACAGGGTACCTTTTATCATGTGTATTGGTTGTACAACAGAGATAACTTTTTATTCCTGTAATTGATCATTTGACTTATTAATTACTGTTTTTTAAAAAGCTGTTTATTAAACCACATTCTGATCAGTGGCTTGCTGATAACTAATGAGAAACTTGCAACAGACACAGAGAAATTGAACTTGGCACAAGACCAAACGCCTGGAAATCAATAGCAAATATTGCAGAACCAGTGAGTGATTAACAGAGAAAAATAAATGAATTTTTCCTCTATTTGTTTGCAGGAGGTTGTCCCTCCTAAATATCTTGATGATAGTACTATTTACCATCTTCAACCTTCTGGTGCATTTGTGATTGGAGGTCCTCAGGGTGATGCTGGTCTGACAGGAAGGAAGATCATTGTAGACACATATGGTGGATGGGGAGCACATGGTGGTGGTGCCTTCTCTGGAAAGGACTACACTAAGGTTTGTCATATTGATACAACCCTAAAACTTCCATAATTAGGTGTGATTTTCTCTCTTCTCTGTGCTCTACATTTAGTTGTTCTTCATGTCCTCTAGCTGACATTTTAGTGTACATTTGCATTCCCTGTTAGCCAGATGGTGTATTGACCTCGTTATTGAAGTCCCTTGGGTCACTTTAAAGAGATAAAGGGGCAGGGTTGTCATTAGAAAAAGTAATAGATGTGTGATCTGAACAGAGCAGGCAATTAATTGAATTATGCTTGTGAAGCAAAGGAAGCATGGTGTATTGCAACTCGGGTCAGGGGTCATGTTCATTGAAAAACTTTGAAATTTGAAACTCACTGTAATGAGATTTCCAACATTCTTGGACTAATTTGAGCAACTTTATTCAGCCAGCCAAATTTTATCTTTGATCACCACTTACTTAGTAGCCAGCACAAAATGGGTCAGACAGCCGGCAGGTTTGCACTGTTTACTAGCTTCCAGTGACCACTTGGAAGGGGTCACGGTTGATAGATATGAACCTTCCTCCAAAAGCTTTTTCGTAGACTAGTCATTTATTTTTTAATTTGTTGATCTTTAAAAATACAGAGAACAATAATTTTGTTCCGGAAAAAAAAAATGTGCATATGTCTTGCAACCTAAATAACATGACTGACACTTTTCAGGTTGATAGATCTGGTGCTTATGCAGCAAGGTGGATTGCCAAGTCTCTTGTAGCTGCTAAACTGTGCCGTCGTGCTCTTGTTCAAGTCTCGTATGCCATTGGTATCGCAGAGCCTCTCTCAATCACAGTGTTCTCTTATGGAACTGGCAAGAAATCTGAAGATGAACTCTTGAAAATTGTTAGGGAAAACTTTGACCTCCGTCCAGGAATGATTGTGAAGTGAGTTCTGTTGAGCTGTTTATCATTTAATTTTAAATATTTATTATTTTTGTGCTCAAAATGTCTATTATTTAAAACTTTGTGTATTGGTCAACTCAAGTTTCAAATTTGATGATGAATTATTCTACAATTTCGAGTACTGTAGGCTAATTATACTTTATTGATAAAATTTTTATTATTGGGACAAGTTGTACTCTCCTTTTTGTTATTCTAGAACTTGAAAGAATTGTGTTCCTTTAAAGATTGAAGCATGTTTGATATTCCATTGAAAAGTGTACCTTTATAGTTGACTACATAAGCCTTGTTGATTTGGTAAATTTTCTTCCTTTTTTTTTTTCTGTCCTTCAGAGACCTCAAGCTAAAGAATCCCATCTATCAAGACTCGTGCATCTATGGTCATTTCAAACCTGGCCCTGGCTTCACATGGGAAGTTCCTAAGAAGTTAGCTTTTTAACTGAATTTGCCATTCTTACACCTGGAAACACAAAGAGGAAAGTGACCCATGGAGTGGACACAGATGATTGTATTTGAAACTAGATTTTCAAAGCCTCCAAATATAAATACACCAAACAGAAAAACACAAATTATCACTGCCTTAGTTTAATATACGTATTTTCATTTATTCAAAATGCATAGCGTGTAGGGTAATTGTATTTGCTAATGCAGCTTTTGTATTTTGCTGTAAAAAGCAGCAAGCTTGTTTCGGGAAAAGCAGTCTGAGAAAGGAAAAGTTATTTTATATTAATGAGCAGAAGGAGCAGTATAGGACCTGTAGCAAATTACAACCAAACTAAATTATGTTTATTTATTATCTAATGAACGGTTGGTCTTACAGCCCATTAAAGCAACCGAAGAAACTCTACAATGAACTTTTAATCCATGGAGATGGGAAGTTTTTGTTGTTGATGTTTTCAATTTTTTTGTTTTTGTTTTTATGGTTAATTTTATGATGCCATTGAAGTATATAATCCAAAAGGAATTAAAGGACAGGGATTGGTCTTTTCATAAATTTGTTTTGTTGTGTTTTTTTTGTCTTGTTTCCTTGTGCCCCTCTCAACATTTGATTAAGCTTATAGGTAGGCTTTCTTTTCTGCTGGTAAAACTGTTGAGGTTGTTTCATTATTATTTTTTTAAGGTCTCAGAACAATCAAATATACCATACTTTTTTCCTTAGTTCTTTAACTCCAAAGAATGACTCTAGCATTTAACTTATCCCTTACAACATCACCCTTGGATCACTTGTAAAAGTTAATGAGAAGAAAGGAAATGATCACCAACTAAAGTAGCTCTTGATTGTGAAACAAATTCCTCTCATCAACACTTTGGGAAATGAATGGAGAAAAGTGTGGAGAAGATGCATTCTGTGAGGTTGAGATGTAAAGGTTTAAATAAGCTGGTTGAGCCACTTTGATCCTTCTGTAACCGTAATGTGCAACCTGAAGAAATGTGTTACCTATTCCTCTCAAGTGGAGGGTACAGGGCATGGAAGATCGTAACACGAAGAAAATTCCATAGAATTAAAAACTGTTATGGTTGCCAAGTAAAGAGAAGTAGGGGCCAGGAAGGATGAATTGCAAACCACAGTGAAGAGCTAGTTATCAAAAGAAATTAAATTATAACTTAACAAAGTTATAACCCTAACCTCCAATGCATTACTGTTTTTAGTAGACCAGTAGACTTGGCAAGAGTCTAGGGTTTTGTTTTTTAAAAGTCCCAGACTCCTAAACCATTTATCCAGTTAAAGTTTTGGGAATAGCACTATTGGTCTGGCCTCAAAATCCAATCCATTGTGTTTTTATCTGAACATCTGCACTGTTAACTTTCAATGCAACTGTTGTCTTGATCTTAGCTGTATCCTCGGGTATTTGAGAACAGTAATAATTCTAATTTTTCAGTAAGGGGTTTCAGATTAAATTATGCTCTTAAAGACTGGGGTTAGTCTACTGTAACCTCCTCACTTCTGCCACTGTCGCATTTGTGATCAGGAGAATAATGGGGAGATGAAATCTGCACCATCATCCCAAAAAGTTATTTCAGAGAATAAGTGCTCCATTTTTTTACGTTTCCTTTACTTCAAAAAGGGATGTTATCATCACTGAAAATAACCAACATTTATTACAGAACTATATCAAAACTTTACAATATTATCTGTATTTGAGAAATTAGTTGCAAGTTACCAATACATTGTTGTGCACAGTCTTCCATTTGAGATCCATATAAAACTAATATCAATCCATATTTTACTACATTTATAAAATAATTCACAAGAAAGAAAAAAACCATTTAGTGTTACATATCAACAAAGGAACTCTTGACCAAGATTTATCCTAAACATTCTTATGTGTCATAGTTTACAATAACTGAAACGATGAATTAATGATTGATGGATTTATTTTTTTTGAAGGAAATAAAATAAAACATGTTAGCCACCAGCTAGTGATGGAAACTTGATCTAGAAATGAACTTTACCAATCCTTTACTAAGGAATATTTCCTGAAATACAATGTGCTAGCATATGGTTACTTCCAATTTTTAAAAAATATAAGTTTTGTTGTGGACATGGATTAAGAAGACTATTTCAAAGGTATACCATTTAAACAAGTGACAATGTGTACTACATAACTGAATCCTAAAGATGACTGTACATAGCACTTAATTAAACTAAATATAAAAGAAAGGTAATCATACATGTGACACAAAACCTTTGATTCAGAAAACATTTGGTTATGTACTCAAAGCACAACACATTCTTTCTCTTTACAGTATCTAAGTTTGAATTTCTTTCTCAAGACTTACCTCTCAGACAACTCTTAATTTTGTGGAAAACAAAAGTTATTTTCCACTGACTGATCAATTTAAGGATTGTCAATCATACTGGTTCCAAATCAGAAATGAAATGAACTCCAAAGTATTTCATTTTGGTTCAGAATTTGACAACAGAGACTGATTGTAGACCCTAGACATCAAAATAAACTACAAAATAAAAGTGATATTCAATCATAAACCAAATCATATGAAAAATACATTGTGAAATGAAAAGACAAAATGATAAGGAGACATGTGATCAAAAGTGAAGAACTCCCATGAAGAATTGTGTCAGGAATATAAAGAACACTGCCACTAAATTCACATTATGATTCTAAGCCCTTCCCCAACACTTTCTCTGAATTTGTCTTTGATAGAAAGATGAAATTTTTGGACACATACACAGTAAAAAAAGACACGTAATTAATGCCAGCAATACCTTTGAGTATGTTTGAAAAGTCAACTCTGGCAAAACACCTTACACATTGGTGATCATCCAAATGAACACATGTACAAAACATATCCTTATATTGATGAAAGATTCAAACATGACTGAGTACATGGACATGTACACTACCCCACATTTAAATAACATATGAATTTACACTGGCTTTTTTACTTACACTGCAGTAAATTATCATGGAAACAGCCACTTATAGGCAGACACAAAGAAAGTGGATAAAGACACTCTGATTAATCCTTTGAGTTGTGACCTTTCTGAAGCCTCTGAAACTATGTACAGTGTTTCCTGAATGGTTCATTACATGATTGACTGCAGTATGAAACACATTTTCAAAGCTGAGTCTACACCTCATGTATGTCACTGAAAAGTGCAGTACTACTGTGATTAACTAATTGAAGTGCCTTAACTCTAATTGCACATAAAATTAACCTAATAGCATCTGAAATAACACTGCATGCATACAAAATATAGAGACTACTAAAATTCTGTTTGCATTAACATAACCTTCATGCAAATACCCAAAGAAAACTCCCCATCTGTGGAAAATGAATGACAGACAGAACTGGAAATTGATGTCTAGATATTAAGACTTAAATTTGTTACTGAACCAACTATTTATAATTTGACTTTAAACTTATGTTGACATTCAGCATGATATAGACAAATACAGAAATGAAACAATTGGCAATTTATCTTTTTTTGTAGTTAAATTTAGCACTTTTCCACCATGAAAAATTACTTTTTTTTAGCTTAATAGCTATATGCCATAAGCTAAAGCAGATTATTAGGTAACCTTAACTACATTGCCCTGAAAATCTAAGTTTGCTCCAACACTAAATCAAATTTTGTACAAGTATACACTACCAACAACATTTTTTAATGCAAAGTAAGAGACAACTAAACTTTATCCTTGTTTGTGAGTTTTTCTATAAGTTCCTGAAGCGGTGCCAGCTCTCTTTTGTCAACCAGACCAAACTCTTGAACAAAGAACATGAAATGCTTAAAGGACGTGTTTAGATGAGCCTCTTCCCCAAGTCCTACAATATGGAGGAAGTGTTGGTGGTATATGTGTGCATAAACTCTGAACAGTCGTTTGAGGATTGTCTTGGCGATGGACAGAAAGTTCTTTGGGAATGGAACACCTGCCGTGAAAGAATAAGAGAATATCAGGGGAGCCAAGGAAGGAGCAGTGGCCCTGGATCAAGAAAAGAAACCTGATTGAGTTTTTAAATGGTTTTAATCCTTTCTCGCTCTTCAGCTTAGTTATCCATATTTCCATGAACATCCTCAAAGCTATGAGCCATTATATACATACTATAATTATTAATTGAGTGAGATGCATAAAAAAGTTTGGTCACTTGGTTTTGACCATACAATAAAGTGTTGTCAGGAGCAATCTTATGTACAACTCTAATATGCAATGGTAACTCAAGACCTGTGCATCATGATACTTATGTCAAAACATGGTCACCAAACTTAAGTTGCCTCTCAATTAACTGAAAATCATAGTTGACTCGTAAGAAAACTTTGTTATTGTAGTTCATGATGAATTTAAGAATGGAGGATGCTTATCACCTCTAAATATGAGAGAGACTTTCCCAAAGTTCCCAGTATTTCAGTTATTCCACCATCCAACCTCATAAACCAAACTGGGTCTCATGAAACCCAAATTTTCTTCTTTGTAACATTATGCAATTGCTACCATTGACAACAAAGTTACCACCTCTTACCTATTTTTGATGGAAAGAGGGTCTCATCATCTAGTTGGTCCTGAACCCATGTCATAAGGTAATCAATGTATTTTGGAGCTGAACATTTTATTGGCTTTTTTATTGTTGTTCCATCTGCCCAATGGTATTCATACCTGAAAGGTTAAAAGGGAACTGAAAAAAAATGTCTTAAAACAGTATGATAGACATCTGAAAAACTGAATCCCCATAAGGAAATAGTAGAGAATGTCTTTTTGTATGAAACAATAGTCTCAAACAATGGAATGTTAATAAAATAAGAAAATTATTTATAGTTAAGAGGCAAAATTAATAGAAGCACAGGTTTTCTTTGGAAACTTACTCCCTTTATTCAAAGGTAATCATTTTTGGAGCCCAAAAGATTGGGGAACCATGAGAGTTATGCCCTAGCCCCTTCTAATTACTATTATATTACTATTTTTAAAGAAAGTGACAAAACTTTTGAGTCTGTAAAACACCTTTATGTACAAAGCGTTGAAAGTTGAATTATATAGTAAGTAGAAAAATGCTAATTAAGATGAATAGTGATAACAAGAAAAGAGCATGCAAGTGTGAGAATTAAAAAGAAATCTATCTTTTTAATTCTCACACTTTCATCCTTTACCTCTTTTCTTGTTGTCACTATTCATCTCAATTAGCATTGTTCTACTTACTATATAATTCAACTTTCAAGGCTTTGTACAGTAATTAACTGAAGATGACAGAAGTTTCTATTGAAACATGTTTTAAAGACTCAAAAGTTTTGTTGCTTTCTTTAAATTCTTGACTTGCCTTCTAATATCAAGACCCTTGGGAAATATATTACTATTGCTACAATTATTATTATTGCTTATACAATTATCTGTTACCATTTAGTTATTGGTAGAGAGTTATTTCTTCAATATATTTTTCAAATCATCTTTCTCTTGTGGAACAAGGTACTCATGAAATGTGGGATGCAGCAAGTTTTCTGTTTTCCATGTGAGACAATATTCTGTAACACAGGCTTCTAGCTTGGTTATACAACCTCTAGTTCTTTTCAATGCTATAAAAATTGTGCTATACCAGAAGCCACATGCAGTCTCTGACTGTCTTTTTTTGGTGCAAAGAAGAGAAAATTGCTCTTCGTTTTGTTTTAATTTTAACACAACTCTATTTAATTTGTGGAAATTAACCAAAACACATAGACTTAATTGTTACGATCATTATGGTTCAGACTTGGACATAACATCGTAATAATTTGGATATGGGAGAACATAGAAAAGAGAGAAAATAAACAACAGAAAATTAAGTCAATAATTATCACTTTTAATATGTGTGCACTCACTTCGGACCAGCAGACATGACGGCACAAGACTCGACAGTACAGAACTCTGTTATCGTTCCGTATAACATGTTGATTTGATTGAAGAAATCCACAGCTGAGTTTAAGGTGAAAGAAGGTCGATTAGTTACTCGAAAGTGAGATACACAAACTCTGACGTGGAAGCAATATACAACCAAAACGCTAAAGAAGCAACATATCAGATTTCATTGGGAATAAACATCGTAAGTGTTTTAAAAATACAAAAAAGACAAATAATTCATGACTTTTAACTTACTGTTAACAGCAACCCATTCGTTAAGGTCTTCTCCTTCAGGTAACATAACTGCGAGACGAAGGTTTCCGCTTCCAAGAGTCGCGGCGGCGTGTTTCATCAAATCATACTGGTGAGTCCCTTCGGGAATGTTTTTCTTCGGTTTGAAGGTTTTTGTAGAGCGGCCACCGCTAGAAAATCAATGAATATCATCCTTAGCTAAATAGTTTAGTTCAGTTCACTGTTGGACGTATCCCAAATATACCCACATACAAGAAAACTTTGTTCTGAATCGACACGATACTATGGGAAAATCTCAAAATATTTGCTGTACTGCTGGCAGTAACGAAGACCGTGATGTCTAAGTTATTATGAAATCATTTAAACTCACAATAGGAAGCTCATCCTGTTTGTAAATCAGCGTCAAACTTCCAATATTTATTACGCAGCCGAATCCCTAGGCAAATCAAAATGGCCACCTTCAAAGAATGCCTCGCTTTCGCGATTGTTGTGTGAAGCACAGCGATGATGTCATCACATCAGGGACATGGCAGAAGGTCGGCATCCAAGACAAATCTTACGCTTTTGCAATAAAAACAAATTTTTTGGTGCTAATTAATAAAATTATCCCAGCTTTCAGAACCTGTACAGACCAGTAAACGGCTTTTACATCGAGTCTCTCGTATATGTTGTGCATGTGATTGAGCTTAAGTTCCTAAAAAGCCCACCCTCATTCAGATTTCTGGGTTCTATTTCATTTGGCGTTCAAATTCCATTTCAGGGTTACGAAAATCACGGGGCCAAGTCTCTGGCGGGAGAACAATCCAGATGTCAATCTCATGACAACATCATCAAGTCCAAATATACAAAGTACAGAGCAACTGAGAACTCATACATGATAACAACCTCCGAATTAAAATTCCCTGAAAATCTTTCATGGTAAGAAATTCAACTGAAATCGATTTCCTTTAAGACAGTCATTCCAAACAGCTTAACGTAAGAATTAATTGATTTTCTTAGAAAACTTGTCTTTTGACACAAATGTAGACTGATATGCCGTTTGTTATCAAAACTTTTTTTTGCATTTAAAACAATCTAACTGACTCTTAAGATCAACCGATCAAGTTAAGACAGGGGAAAGCAAGATGCACTTGCACCTCGATTCTCGTTCCAATGTTCTCCTCGCTTCGATAATCGATGAGCCCTGGGGATAAGAGTAGTATGCCTAGTTAGCCTACGTGTAGCCGTACCCTCCCCAGCCAAGGTGAAACAGAGGCGAGGTAACCTGCTTCCGTTTCACCTGGGGGAGGGGAGGGGGGGAAAGGGCGAGGGGTACGGCTACACGTAAGCTATGTGTTCTTCTGGGAAAATATAGTTTACATAAGTTGTGCACTGGTTTATGCAGTTCAGACAATATCGCGGAAACAAACCACGTAATATTTACTCATAATAATAATAATAATAATAATAATAATAATAATAAGACATTTATAACGAGCTAATTCCATAAAATGTTCAAATGCGCATGACAAGATTAAAAACGAAATAAAAAGGCTAAAAAGCTAAAATTACAATTAAGAGTAAACTTACAATAATTTAAAAAACTAAAATTACAATTAAAAGTAAACTCACAATAATAAAAACAACTATAATAACAATGCGTGACGGGAAAGGTGAGTTTTTAGCTTGGCTTTAAAAACACTAACTGTGCTGGCGCTTCTTATGTCAAATGGTAACGCATTCCACAGTTTCGGTGCAGCACAGGTAAAAGAACGATCACCTAGTGTAGCTTTAGATTTAAAACGCGGATAACTAAGTAAAAGGTTATCACTAGAATTCCTTAGATTATATTTAGATGGGAGCCAAATAGAAATGAGAGACGATAAATAAGTAGGCGCTAAAAATTAAGAATCTTAAAAGTAATTAAAAGTATTTTAAGATCAATTCTATATTTAATCGGCAACCAGTGTAATTAATAAATAAGAGGCGTTACATGACAAAATTTCTGTTC